ATAATCGTGGGATAGTGAGTCATGAGTATGAGTTACAAAGTCATAATAATACAGAATAAATCATGATTATGAGATATTAAGTCATAGTAATGGCATAATAATTCATGATTATGAGATATTAAGTCATAATACAACCCAATTTCCAAAAAAATTGGGACGCTGTGCAAAATGTAAATAAAAAATGCAATGACGTGCAAATCATTTCATTGTAAATAGTACAAATTTTTCGATTTGATGCCATCAACACGGTCCAAAAAAGTTGGGACGGGGGCAACAACAGGCTGGTAAAATTGTGTAATGCTAAAAAGAAACACCTGGTGATTAATTGGAAACAGGTTAGTAACATGATTGGGTATAAAAAGCATCTCAGAGTCTTTCAGAAGTAAAGATGAGGAGGAGGTCACCACTCTGTGAAAGACTGCACTATCAAATAGTGCAACAATTCAAGAATAATGTTTCTCAACATGAAATAGCAAAGAACTTTTGCTTTTCATCATCTATGGTACATAATATCATTAAAAGATTCAGAGAATCTGGAGAAATCAAGGGACAAAGCTAAAAACCAGTGTTAGCTGGCTGTGATCTTTGGGCCCTCAGGCAGCACTGCATTAAAAACAGACATGATTCTGTAGTGAAAATCACTGCATGGGCTCAGAAACACTTCTGAAAACCACTGTCTGTGAAAACAGTTCATTACTGCCTCCACAAATGCAAGTTAAAACTCTAAAACGCAAAGAAGAAACCAAATATAAACAGGATCCAGAAACGCTGCCACCTTCTCTGGGCCTGAGCTCATTTAAAATGGACTGTGGGGAAGTGGAAAAGTGTCCTGTAGTCAGATGAATCAACATTTGAAATTCTTTTTGGAAATCATGGACACTGTGTCCTCTGGGCTAAAGACCACTCAGCTTGTTATCAGTGCACAGTTCAAAAGCCAGTATTCATGATGGTGTAGGGGGGCATTAGTGCACATGGCATGGGTGACGTGCACATCTGTGAAGGCTCCATTAATGCTGAACGATATAAACATGTTTTGGCAACATATGCTGCCATCCAGACGACGTCTTTTTCAGGGAAGGCCTTGATTATTTCAGCAAGATGATGCCAAACCACATTCTGCCTGTATTACAGCAGCATTGCTCCGTATTAAAAGAGTCCGAGTGCTAAACTGGCCTGTCTGCAGTCCAGACCTGTCACCACTGAAAACATTTGGTGCATTATGAATTGAAAAATACGACAAATGAGCCCCTGAACTGAGGAGCAGCTGAAATCCTGTATTAAACAAGAACGGGAAAACATTTCACTTTTTCACTTTCTGAGTGCTGTTAAAAGAAGAGGTGATGAAACGAAGTGGTGAACAGGCCCCCGTCCCAACTTTTTTGGAATATGTTGTTGGCATCAAATTCAAAATGGACATATATTTTTCAAAAAACAACAAAATTTCTCAGTTTCAACATTTGATATGTTGTCTTTGTAGTATTTTCCTTTAAAAATTTGGTTTATATGATTTGCAAATCATTGCATCCTATTTTTATTTACATTCTGCACAGCGTCCCAAATTTTTTGGAAATGGGGTTATAATATAGAGTAAATCATGATTATGAGATATTAATTCATATTGAGATAGTAAATCATGATTATAAGATATGATGTCATACGTGTATAGGAATAAATCATGATTATGAGATAGCAAATCAAAATAATAGAGTAAATCATGATTATGAGTCATAATAATGTAGAGTAAATTGTGAATATGAGATGTTATGTCATACTAATATAAGAATAAATCATGATTATGAAATATTAAGTCATATTAATCAGATTGCAAATCATGATTATTAGATATTAAGTCAAAATAATGAGATAGTAAATCATGATTATGAGGTATTAAGTCACAATAATAGAGAGAAAACCATGATTATGAGATAATAAATCTGAGACACTGGCTATGTTTACATGCAACGATTTTTGCCAATCCGATTGAATACAATCCGATTACAGATTTAGACTGAGGTGTTTATATGCACTCTATTCAACAATCTGATGGAAAATCTTCGTTTACATGCTCACTACAAGTAATCCGATGCAAAATGACGCGCATGCGTGGAGTAGCGCTTAGAGTAAACGTTACCATGACAGCGAACATCACGTGAGGTCCAGACCAGTTTCTGCTCCGCCATGTTCAGCGGTGTAAACTTCGCCGTGACGCGACGCACATGCGCAGAACATACTTACACGTTCCGATTGGAATGTAATCGGATTCAGGCGTTTACATGGCTATTATTCTTCTATTTAACGGATTATTTAGAAGTTTACCCACCTCGTTTAATCGGATAGAAATTGTATTCCGAATGGCCTCAATCGGATTAGACTATTCCGATTGAGGTGTTTACATGGACATATTCTATTCCGATTGAGCTATTAGTCGGATTATTAACGGATTATCAGGCTGCATGTAAACGTGGCTACTGTTTTATGATGGTTTAGAGAACTTAAACTCCATTCATGGTGGAGGGATACATGCACGGCGCTGTGAGGCAAAATAGTCCCCAAAGAAAACTGATTATTTCAGATTTTCCACTATTTCAGCCACTCGTGGGTCTTTCTGAAGGTTGTTGAAGTGAATATCCTCATCAAATCCCGCAGTTTACGTTTTTTTCAGTCTACTGTGCTCTGACAGTGAGCTTTTTGTATTGTGGGCGTGGCCATGCTGATGTTTGTTTTCTATGCTAATGAGCTAGCTCCGATGTTAGCACTGCTGGTAGTCTGACGGGGTCTGTAGAAAAGCTTTGTTTCCTCATATAAACTGGATGGAGCTCTGTGGCGACGCAGGCTCTGACTCTTTCTACGGCGTTTAAAATGCACACCTGACTCTTTAAAGCTGAGATAATATGAGGAAGAGCTCATTTCCACACGACCAGACCTTTCAGCATCTCCCTGGAGATTCACGAACAGCAGGGTTAAAGGTCAAACGCCAGCCGCATCACACAGCAGACTGGAGATCCACAGGGGTCAAACTCCACTTAACCTCCACCAGGAAACAGAGAAGGTGATCAGAACCTGCAAGATAGTTATATGAGAAACAAACAAACAAATACCTATATATATATATATAAATATATATATAAATAAAAATGTGGATCAATGACAAAAGGTTTTCAAAAATGACAATTTTTTATATATTGTTTTAAAAGGACATATCTGCATTCATATTTGCATTGATATCTGAGCGTTTTCTATCTTAAACACATTGAGTGTTATCAAAGCTTTAATTGCCTGTTTCAGTTATTAGCCTGGTCTGGTTGCTCCATCTGACTGACTGGTTGTGCCGCCTTACTTTTCAGACTAATTTCAAATTAAACAAGCATCTACTTAGACACCTGTAGAAACCTTTGTCCTTCAACTTGAGTTTAGATTTACATTTTTATCAAATAAACAAACATTATTATAATAATTTTATTATAATAATTCCACATGTTCATGGTTCTCCTAAGGTCAGACCACCTGACACGGTAAACTGAACTGTTCTTACTCAAACATCACACTTTTACTAAATCTGTGACCTTGGCATTGCACCATGAAGATCAGTTGGGGTCTTTTTTAATGATGCAGTACCCAGGCTCCTCTTCTGTAAAAGCATATCAAAATTAAAGTCCTTTGTTTCTGGTTGTGCCATCTGACATTTGAGGATGAAAACGATCGACTTGGAGACAAATAATGGACTTCATGTCAATGACCCATATATATGAGTACATATAAAAGAGCTATATAAACACACAAACACACACATACATATATATATATATATATATATATATATATATATATATATACACACATATATACAGTGGTGTGAAAAAGTGTTTGCCCCCTTCCTGATTTCTTATTCTTTTGCATGTTTGTCACACTTAAATGTTTCAGATCACCAAACAAATTTACATATTAGACAAATATATCACAAGTAAACACAAAATACCGTTTACAAATGAAGATCTTTATTATTAAGGGAAAAAGAAATCCAAACCTACAGGGCCCTGTGTGAAAAAGTGATTGCCCCCTAATCCTAATAACTGGTTGGGCCACCCTCAGCAGCAACAACTGCAATCAAGCATTTGCGATAACTGGCAAAGAGTCTTTTACAGCACTGTGGAGGAATTTTGGCCACTCATCTTTGTAGAATTAAGTGTGACAAACATGCAAAAGAATAAGAAATCAGGATGGGGGCAAAGACTTTTTCACACCACTGTATATATGTGTGTATGTGTGTATATCTACATATATATATATATATATATATATATATATATATATATATATAGATAGATAGATAGATAGATATATGGATAGATAGACAGATAAATGAAATAAAACACAGGCGTTCTCTGTCCCACTGATTTGTTGAGATTTTTAATATGGGCCTTAATATGGGTGGTTGAGTCTGACACCCCTGACTTAGAGGATGAGTTCTTAATGCACAATCAAGCAGTGTATGTTTTTTTGGTAAATCTGGTAAAAATAAGCTCCTATTTTACATCATAACAGAGCACAATAATAAATTATGAAGAACATCTAAATGAACTGGACTGTCAGAAAGTGAGTTTAGTGCTGTAGATCCACATCAGCACTCCGAAGATTTATAAACAGCTGCAGTGAGATCAGGTTTGAGATTACTGATTATTGATCATTAGGCTGTGGGAGTGAATGTTGAGTAAAGTGGGATACAGCGCCCTCCTGTGGCACAGAACCAAAAACACTTCTGTGTGTCTATTTTATTCTGTGTCTATTTTATTCTGTATTTACTGTACTTACTGTATGTATACATACTGTCTGTCATCCTACTAGTACATGTGCTCTCCTGTCCTTGTCTTAATGTTTACACACCAGAGAAGCAGCCTGTGTAATGTATGATAATAGTAATAATAATAATAATAATAATAAAGCTAAATTACATTGGAAAAACAATCAGAACACACAAAAAAAACTATTTCCTGCAAGAAAAATCATACTTTGTTGGTACTTTTATTCAGTGTCAGTAGAAAGATAGTTCAGTTTAGGAAACCATCAAATGCATTTAGAATCACCCACTGGTCACCTGTTAGACCATTAGGATCCTTTATGCAGTGATATAAACCCATTAAAAAAGACAAAACACATTACAGAACCATCAGGAACCAACAGAAACACAATGGTTTATATGGGTTTTTCGACAGGGTAAAAACACAATAATAAACGGACTTAAAGCAACAATCCAGAGTTAATCCTGTTTAGGAAGCAGAACGAATGGACTAAACAGTTCCTTAGGTGTGGGGTACAAACTCTAAAGTACTAGATAACTATTAGCGGTAACAAGATGGTACGTTCTAAAGCAGTCTGAGTGAATTACACGGAAATGCCACGTTCTAGATATTAACTGAGTAATTATGTGGTACAAACTCCACAATACTGTGTGATTTTTATTACCTTGTCACCCCAAAAAACAGATATTTTACTGTGTCCTTTCAGTTCAATAGCTAGAACCTGATCATTTCAGTGTAAATTAGTTATCCAAAATAATCACACAGCACTGTGGAGTTTGTTCCACTTACCAAGTTACTATCTAGAACTGGTTGGGCTTTTCAGGATAGTTTAGTTAAACTGACTCAGAACTTCCCATCATGGTACCCCACAATTATTATCTAGTACTTTGGAGTTTGTACTTAACACGTATCTGGTTAATACCTAAAACTTAAAGCACTGTAAAAGAAAGAAAGTGTTGCCTAAACTCCATTTCTCCCCCAGTGGCCAGTTGCCCCAGCTGTGCGCAAGTACAAACGTAGGCTAGCTGTACCGTAAGTGTTTACTAAGTTCAGGTTTATCATCACTAAATCAGAACGAGCTGCACCACAAACTAACGCTGAGTTTAGTAGCTGTTTAATGTCCACACCCCCCTCAGCAGGTGTGAGTTTTGGGGAAACCATCACAGAAACACACAGACAGCACAAAAAAGACAAAAACAGGACTTTTTTGGTTACTAAGCTACAACTAAACACTGATTTTACTCACAGCCCTAATCGTCGCCCTGGTTTAAACTCTGGTCATGAAGCTAAACACCCACAGCTCCAGCTCAGAGACTCAGCAGCCCGAATGACTAAACTGATCTGCTGTTGTGTCGCTCAGCCAGAAACCGGCATTTAAAAAGTTGCGTATTTGGTTTCTCAGTGAAATATTAAAGAATAAACAGACAGTGACTGTAAATAATTAGGTTTATTCAGTTTAACCCGTACACATCCTTCTCTTCTAGGCTGAATATTCAGTCAGAGCAGCTGCCGTCGGGTTTCCATGGCAGCGGGTTTACAGATCGGTTCTGATCGTGTTTTCGTCGTGTTATAGCGACGTACGCGTTAGTTAGTTGTTACTAGTGAAGACACAACTTACGGGTTTGTGGTGCAACCAAATTTAGTGTAACTGAAGACTTTAAACACAGACTTAAATGTAAACCTTCGCAAACCTGGTGCAGCTCAGTCCAGCTGTGTAAATCTAAACTGATGCAGTGAACCGGTGTGAAGCGCAGCAGCTCAGCATCCTCGTTCAGTAAAAATAACAATAAAAAACTAAACTCCACACTGTTTCACACCCATAAAACAGAGAGAAACTTCCTCTAAACAGACTGTACGTCACCTGACGCAGGCTCAGTCTCAGTCTGGACTAAATTAAGTCTCTAAAACCCTTTAGAAAGCAGATCCCAGTCTGTCAGCACAGACAGCAGGCCCAGTAAAAAGAACCCTGCTCTGTACTGATTGTTCAGGAGTGCAGCTGTATTTCAACTGTCAATCACTCTCGCTCCGCCTCTTCAGTCTCCTTGACTCCTCCTTCCGTCTCCCCGTCTGTCCCACCCTCTTTGACCTCCTTTGACTCCACCTCATTTTGCTCAGGCCCTGCCTGGTTCTGCTCCAACTCCGCCTTGTTCTTCTCTGGCTCCACCTCGTTCTGTTCCGGGTCCGCCTCCCCTTGCGCAGCTTCTCGTTTGCCTTGCTCCTGATTGGTCGATGCTTTGCTGACCTCCTGCAGGTTGTACTTCCTGAAGAGCATGTAGTCCCGGACGACGCTGACGCAGCACACGGACTTTATGATCTCCACGATGATGGTCAGCTCAGGGTTGGTCAGATCGACCTTGTTTTCAGGGTTCAGCTTGGCCACCAAACCTGAAAGGAGACAAAGAAAAGGAGAAAAAGAAAAGATTTAATAACACGTGAATGTTCTAAAGGTTTGATCACACAGTATAAAACCGCTTTTCCGCCGCACCGCAACAGCTCGGCTCTGCCCTTTATTGGTTTTCCAGACAAACCTGGTATCATTTTCGGTGTTACCTCTACAAACCAATCAGGGTCCAGTACAGGGAGACAGGAAGCCTTGGCTTTAGTTGAAGTGTTTTGTCTGAGTTTTGAGTTTTTTTGGTTTTTTTTGAGTTGCTTACATATACTATCCTGTCTAGGGGTGGGAATCTCTAGGCACCTCACGATTCGATTACGATTCAAAGGGCTGCGATGCGATTATAAAATGATTATCGATGCATCTTGATGCATCTTTTTTTTCTATATAGCATTTATATTTTCTCACTGTGTGAGCTCAAGTTTCAAGTTTATTTGTCATTTGCACAACATGTCAGGACATTTATGCATTGAAATGCTTGTGGAGAGGCTCAGCTAATCACTCTACAGAAAGTAAATAAGTAAAAATAAAAATACAAAAAAAAAAACAACTGAAATATATTAAATATACACAAAATATACACAGAAGATAGAGACAATATACATTTTAAAGTGACTAAGTAACTCGGTGTTATTGTTAATTAAAGTGACTTGGTACTTTTAAACCGAAGTATTTGTAATGATCCATAATGTATTTACTTCCAATATCTTTTATTAATAAAACAAATGGAAGTGAACTGGAAGGCTCTCATTCACTGCTCTTGTTTGGAGCACGAGGAGCTGCTGCTACTCATCTGCGATAAAATGCGCAGTTACGGTGAAATAAGATCCAGTGGTAATGGACGTCCACACAGCACGTTACAGCTATTCTACCCGTCTTCTTTAGTGATTTTATAACTTCGGTTTTGGTCTCGTTGTAGAGACGGAGGGGGGGGTGTAAAGTATCTTTGAGACGGAACGTGTGCTACATAGAGCGAAAGCCCTGTTTCGCAATGACTGAGAGCAGACTGCAGGTCACATAGCAGCGATGTGTTATTCGCATTTATAAGCAGCGCAGTTGGTTTCCTGGAACGTTAAATCTGCATCGAGAGATTGTCAAACAGTAAAAAGTGGCGAAGATGAAGTCGCTTCTCTTTCGAATTCTCCCGTTCCACCTTAAATGGTGCTGCATTTACATTCGGCGCCTCAGTTAGAATTTAAGGTGGAACGGAAAAATTCAAACAAGAAGCTGGAGAATGAGAAGCGACTTCGGCCTCGTAAAACATTTGAACGATGAGAGACATTTAACTGATCAACTTCTGAGGAAAAGTTTTCTGGCGGAGATGGGAGGAAAGCGGCTGAGGCTAAAGCTTAAAGCAGAGCAAAGTAAATCTGTGCTCTCAGTTATATTGTTTAGCCTATACTAGGACATTATCACACACTCAGACATTAAATGTTGTGGCTCCCAAGGTGGTTTGATTTTTGTTGAAAGGACAAAATGGCTCTTCTTATCATTTGGGTTGTGACTCCTGACCTAACCTGGCTTTAATGCAGAGGGAGCCGGTCGGATTTCTCACTCATCCAGCAGTGTTTTTGTTATGTGCCGCCACAGACTGTCCGGGCGCTGCACTTACCCACTTCCAAGTTCCGCCCTTTGCGTTCCGTCAACATTACGTTATAAATCAAATATCTAGAAAATCGTTTTTTGACGTTTTTGAATCGATTCAGAATCGTTCACGTCCACATCGTGATGCATCTAAGAATCAATTTTTTCACGCAAACCTAATCCCGTCAAACCTTCGTCTCTTTTCCTCTTTTTCTTCTCCATACGTTTGGAGAACATGTGTTGAGTACATTCTTTGTTTTCAGCACAGACGAACCACAGATCCTGTGGGTTATATTTTGAGGTGATACTGTTGCAGGAACTGTTCATTTACACCAAGTGCTGGGTATCAGGACTTTTCAACAGAGACCTCTAGTTCCTCAACTAGACTGACTCCTGAGCAATATCTCTACGAGCAGGGTGATATGAGTAGACGTTTTAGAACGAGGTAGAACCGAGCCGTACCTGCCAGAGATTTGATGACTTCCTCTCTCTTGTTGTGGCTGCTGTTCCGGGCCTTGAAGTTGATCTGGAAGGAGGCGCGGTTTGGAGCTTTGAACCACGGCTCCAGGTAAGAGCTCAGGTACTTCTCCATGTCCTCTGGAAACGCCCTGCAGGTGCCGCTGACCGGCAACATCCGCAGGATCACCCGAGACTTCTTCTTCTTCGTCTGGTGAAGGTCCTGCAGGATGTGGTGAACCAGCTTCTCCGGGTCTGAGAGAAGAAAGAGAGGCAAATGAGGGTCCGTCGGTTCAAATCAAGAGTAAAAACACCGCCCGGCCAGTTTGTTACATCCACCTCCTTTTTTCTACCCTCACTGTCCACTTTATCAGCTCCACTGACCGTACACTTTCACTCTGTAGTTCTGCAGTTACAGACTGTAGTCCATCTGTTTCTCTGCATACTTTTTCTTACCCTGTTCTTCAGTAGTCAGGACCCCCACAGGACCCTCACAGAGCAGGTACTATTTGGGTGGTGGATCATTCTCAGCACTGCAGTAACACTGACGTGGTGGTGGTGTGTTGGTGTGTGTTGCGCTGGTCTGAGTGGATCAGACACAGCAGTGCTGCTGGAGTTTTTAAACATTTTAGTGTCGCTGCTGGACTGAGAACCAAAACATTCAGCCAACAGCGTCCTGTGACCACTGATGAAGGACTAGAGGACGACCATCACAAACTGTGCAGCAGCAGATGAGCTATCATCTCTGACTTTACATCTACAAGGTGGACTAACAAGGTAGGAGTGTCTAATAGAGTGGACAGTGAGTGGACACAGTGTATAAAGAGTCCAGCAGCACTGCTGTGTCAGATCCACTTGTGCACATAATAGAGTGGCTGGTCAGTAGCACTGGGGGCAGACTCATTGCGGTGTTTAAACAGGTGGTAATTGACTGGGCTCCTCAGAAGCGGCACCATCTAAAGGTCTGGACCCTCATCAGGAGATACAAGTTTCAATATCGTTGATGGTGTCACCAAAAACAATCAACATGTTATTGATAACTTCAGCAATATCAATTAAACCAGGCATCATCAATATATCACCAGACACATCAGAACTGTGCACTGTTTACCACAGCGCCTCCATGTTCAACACTCATTAATGTCCGAATGCTAATAGCTGCTGATAGCCGATGACAAGATAGCAACCATGGAGAAACACCTGAAAGCACCTAAACCAGTGGTGACCGACCCTCCTCCTGGAGATATACCTTCCTGCAGGTTTCAACTCCAACCCAAAGCTAATCATGGACTTCTGAAGGCAGAGATTCAGGTGGGGTCAATTAAGACTGAAGCTCCCGAGTCTACAGAAAAGTAGATCTCCAGGAGCAGGTGTGGTTCTAAAAGAAAGACCAAATGTAGTTATGTTATAACTGAAGTTTGGAGAGAGGAACATGCCTGAAACCCCTCCTTTTTTCAATCTATCGCCCTATAAATTCACATCTTCACCTTCTGTTCCTGTGACGAAGTGTTCTCAATCCCCACCGCCACCCCATCTCCTCCCTGTTTCTCACTCCTACATCAGGCCTACTACAGCTATGAGGGGATCTGGCCCTCTAACTACAGGGAGAAGCTGCCCAGAACTCCAGCCCAGGTTCTCAGGTTCTCCCCCCTCCCTCAATCAGTCTTCCCTCATACTACCACCACCATGTTGAAGGCACAGTCTGAACTCACAAACATCATTTTGTTTGGAGCACAAGTAAACAACAGCCAAATCAACTAAACTTTGAAAGTATCATATCAAATTTGGTTTCACTGAGAAGAAGATGGTGGGACACCACAACACGTCACCGGTCTCCGGGTGGCAGCAAACGAGGCCATGATATTGGGTCTGGTGGAAAACGATATTGGGTTTGGTGGAAACTGATACTGGGTTTGGTGGAGGACGACAGGGGGGTTTGGTGGAGGACGACAGGGGGGTTTGGTGGAGAACGACGGAGTGGTTTAGTGGAGAACGACGGGGGGGTTTGGTGGAGAACGACGGGGGGGTTTGGTGGAGAATGACAGAGGGTTTGGTGGAGAACGACAGGGGGTTTGGTGGAGAACGACAGGGGGTTTGGTGGAGAACGATAGAAGATTTGGTGGAGAACGATAAGGGGTCTGGTGGAGAACGATAGCAGGGTTTAGTGGAGGATGATAGAAGGTTTGGTGGAGAACGATGGAAGGTTTGGTGGAGAATGATAGGAGGTCTGGTGGAGAACAATGGGGGGTTTGGTGGAAAGCGATAGGAGGTTAGGTGGAGAATGATATTGGGTTTAGTGGAGAACACTGGTGTTCGGGTAGAGAACATCAGTAAGTCCCAACAAAAGTCAGGTAAGTACACCCGTAGCTCTCACCGACGTCGTGCGTGCGGATGAAGACGACGTTATTGGCTCCGCTGTCCACCGCCTGGAAGCGCCGCTCCCGTTTCTTGCTGGACGACTGGATCTGCGTCACTTCTTTCTTCAGAGCTGCCTCCACATCATCTTCATCCTCAGCCTCATCGCTGTCACTGCCGTCAGGATCTCCCAACTGAAACAGGTCATTACAAAGACAATACAGTGGTCAGCTCCGCCCACACGGCCTGACTGGCAGATACACCTGATACCTGTATCTCTCCGCTCACCACAGGCTGAGCTGAGGAACAGTGGTCTGTAAGCCTTTGATCAACCTACTGGGACTACTTCTTCATTATTAAAGCCTAATCTGAAACAATGTTTCATTTGCTTCTGTGTAGTTTTCCCGCCGCGCGCGCTCTTACCTGCTCAGGTCCGTACAGCTTCTCTCCGTACTCTCCCAGCAGGCTGTAGGCTTCCGCCGTGCACCTGCGTGCGTTCATGTTGCAGGTGATCAGCACGCCCTGCATGCCCGCGCTCAGCGCGCGGTCCTGCCGCGGCCGCTTAGCTCCGTGAGCGCGCACGCGCCAGCTCCGCTTTCTACTGTCTTCAGACATGATTCGGATTAAAACACTGAACCGAATTCACTGTTTACACCTTTTCACTTCTCCTCGGCCACCATCACACGCTCACCAATCCAGGTCACTGCAGCGCGTGGGCAACGCTTAGCTCGCGAGCGGCGTGATGCAAGCCGCAGTAAAGAAGAAGAATACACTGTCAAAATAAAAGTCCCGGAATACACTGTCAAAATAAAGGTTAAATCCAAATATATTCAAATAAATATTGTTGATCAATCACTACCGTCTTTTTTGTACAAATACACATTTATACAAAATGTGCTTACAGCAACAAATGATCTAAAATAAAATTTTAAACACACGTTAGCCAAATAGCTCACAGACAAAAGTGTGAAAACCTAATTTCATCAATAAGAAATTGTCCTACAGTCACAAATTACTATATTTTAACGTACGTGTTTAATGAGTGGTCGACATATCAGCTAAATAAGCTGGAGCTAGCAGATGGTTCATAAACTGTCTTCACTCACTGACCTTTAAAAACATTTATTAAATATAAAATATTCAAATATCCAGATGTGAATTAGCAAAAACTTACAATAAGGAATAGTAACTTTAATTAGAACACATGACACCAAAACACAATTATGTTTCTTCAAAACAAAAAAGTCTGTCCTGGTTATGAACGCAGTACTAAAGCGTTAGCAATGCTAGTAGGCCAACATACAGTCTACAAGCAAAGTACAGAATCAGCCTTAAATCAGCATGTTAATCAGAACCGAGCTCCTTTCTGAACGGAGAAACGACACACAGCGAGCCTGGAATGTTTTACAACAATTAATATGATTTTATCCTAAAGTTCACTGTTGACTTTTATTTTGACACTGCACCCAAATCGCGTTCCAGCAGCAGCGGCCGCTCTTTTGACGAGGCGCCGAGAGGGACATTTCTGAGGCGCCGAGAAACGCGTTTCTGACACCACGTGGTTTCTGTTCTCCACTGAATGTTAATGAAAGTAAACAAGACTCGAGTTCTGAGATTTGAGGGGTTTGTTTTTAATTCAGCAGTAAAAACAAATTTAAAACTTTCAAGTCCATCAATATTATTATATTTTACTGCTATATCAGCAGAAACATTTACGCACATATATATAAATATATATACACACACATTTATACATATATCTAATAACAGCCAATTCCCCTCAAATGATCTCAAATTTTAACAAAAATTTATGTTGTTTTTCAGGTTGAAGAATGGCCTTCACTAGAAATGAAAAGGCATTCTGTGTGTTAGAAAATGCTCGAACACAGTCAAACAAGAGTGCAGCGTGCATTTTCCAGAAAATTCAATAAAAATGCACCAACAATAAATAAATAAATCTTGTATTGTTCAACATGAAGCCTATTTAATTTCGTTTGCCAGGACATGAAGTTACTCAGATACTCACATCTCAAATGATGTCAATTTTTTTGGGACACCCTGTATGTGTGTGTGTATATATATATACATATATATATATATATATATATATATATATATATACACATACACACACATATATATATATATATACACATACACATACACATACGTACATACATATATATACACGCACACACACACACAAAGACAATTCATCTACAGCTTTATTAGACTTCCACATTACATTCCACATTTATACAGCTGCCTGGTGTTTACTGTTTCAGTATTAACACTGTAGTTACAAAAAGAAATGAACATTATAAGCATTTATTTAATGTATTTAATACACACAATAAAAACATCACACATATCCCACATTCACACAGCCGCCTTACAGTCCTGCTAATTTAATATCACAATAGAAATCATCAGAAGCGACAGGTCAGATCGTTTCAGAGTGTGTATGAATAAAGGCTGTTACTCCAGTTCTGCGCTGGTGATCATCCTAATAAAAGCTCATTGATTTTATTTTAATTGATTACGGTATCTGGGAGTCGTAGCACTTCAGCGGATGTTTCTGGAAGCCGGTGTTTTGACGCTGAAGCGGATGCTGTTGTTCTGTTTCATAGAGGATTTGATCACGGCCGACTCCCACTTAAAGAAGCCACACCCGCCTTTGTGGGCGGGGCCTGTGCTGCCACTCCTCCTGACCGTGCAGGTGAAGAAGGCCCGTCCGTGGTTCGGGCCGCCGTTACACACCGTGAGGCGCTTGGCTCTCCGCCCACAAGCACACAGAGGAGAGGTCACCTTAGTGACCTTAGATACTGTACTGTTTACACTGTTTACACTGTCAGACAGACGCCTAGAGGGGGAAGAGGAGACACCTGATTGGTTAACGGACATAGAGGAGAGAGCTGATTGGTTGAAGGAGAGGGAGGACAGCTTTGACCGGCTGGTGGAGCAGGTGGAGATTGCTGATTGGTTGATGGAGATTGAGGGGAGAACCGATTGGTTGACTGAGCCAGATGATCGTTTTGACTGGTTGTTGGAGGAGGATGTGAGAGCTGATTGGTTGACTGAACAGGTAGAGTGTGATTGGTTGGCGGAGATGTAGGAGAGAGCTGATTGACTGACTGAGCTAGAGGATCCTTTTGATTGGTTGGTGGAGCAGGAAGGCCGAGCTGATTGGTTTACATGTAAAAGAACTGGGTGAGGAATTTTGAAAGAGCCTCCCCCTGATGAAGCAGAAGTGTGATCTGATTGGTCTGTGTAGATGCTGAAAGGCATGCTGGGAGTTGTAGTCGTGGAGTGTCGTCCCGGCCGAGTGAGCGATCTGTATGGATCTGTGAGTGGAAGAAGAGTAGCAGAGGTAGAGGCAGATGTGTAGGGGCGGGGCTTAGAGTGGTGTCGTTCAGGTGGGTGTGGTTTAAATGGGTGTGGTCGTGTTGTGCTGAATGGAACGTTAGCTGTTTTGTTGTTTTTATCAACACCAACCCACTCGTCGTCCTCCAACAGCACGTCGTCATAGGAACCAGACTCTCCAGCCTCTGTTACTATGTCACCCTCTGACCAATCAGAATCAGCAGTCTTAGGGTCAAAGGTCAGATGTGAGGTTGAGCTGTGTGTGGTGTTTTGCAGTGTGGTGTGCAGCTGGGGTGTGTTGACACACACTGGAGTGGTGAGGGAGGAGAGGACGGTGCGCATGGACACCAGACTCTGGACGCCAACACTGGTGGGCGGGTTTGGGTTCCCAGCTGAGCTCCTGTTGCAATGGTTTCCAGAGTCTGATGACGGCTGGTTCTCTTCTACAGGTGAGGGTGAGTTACTCTGAGCCTCGCTGTGGACAAACAGCGGCCTGGACTTCAGCGGAGCCTGAATGAGAAACATGTAGATTTAAAGCAAAAGCAAAAATAAATAAATAAATAAATAAATACAGTGGTGGTGATAGGAACCAGGGGTCGCCATGACTCGACACAAATATAGACATTTTATTTACCATCCAGAACCACCAGTGAACCTACACAAGTCTTCTGAGATTATATGGAATGTTGATGATGGAAAATAGTGGAGAATCTGAAATAATACGTTTTCTTCGGGGACTATTTTGCCTCACAGCGCCCTGCATGTTATGTATCCCTCCACCATGAATGGAGTTCAAGGCCAAAATCTTCCCAAAACTATCACAAAACAGTGTCTCAGTCATCAGGCAGTCAGTCACCAAACCACTCTGAGCAACTCTGATTTCTTTCCCTGAACTACGTCTTTGATTAAAGCTGCTGGGTCTACAATCACCTGTGCAGGTCTCTGGGGGATGGAAGAGGACCTGAAGGAGACCCGTGGAGGAGGAGAGGACCTGAAGGAGACCCACTCACCCTGCTCAGAGATTTGGTCACTTTCAGTACGCAGCCGTCCGTCATCATCCGCCAGGCCAGACGAGCCGTATTCCGAGCATCATCCAGACCTACAGACCGACAGCGTTTGTTACGGTGTTGGCCCTTACATGGGGTTGTTACTAGGCTGAACAGGTTACAGACATGAACACTCTTGAACAGTGAAAAAAGTGACAGAAACTAATCAAATTAATGTGGAATTACTTAATTAAGTTCTACAACTACAAGATCTGCCCAGGTAAAAGTGGGTAACATGGCGATATCTTATCATTATCGTGATAATACGTTATTTGAGCTAATCATGTATATCGTCTGTACACTGACCAACTGCATGTTTCATTACAAAGAGAGCATCATTAGTTCTGCTTCAATGGATTCAGTATTAGGAGAGTATTATGTATAAGGTTGAATGAAAATCGTTGTTCCGAAAATGTTTTTAATGTATGTTTTAGTGATAGATATTTTGCCAGGTCGCCCACGCCATGACCACACATTGCACTGTTTTCTGAGCATTTTGGTTGATTTAAAAAAATAATTTAAAATTTCTTGCTTACAATTCCAAGGTCAAAAAGTCAACATGTACAAAATTTGGCAGACACCTCCTTTGGAGACTCCACATCTACTATAAATAGAAGTTCTTTTTATCTAAAAGCTACCCATCATTTGTGTTCTACTGGCTCGTAGTGCTTGGACCCCTTAAGATTGCCCCTTGTGGTGTAATTTATAGACAATAAATTCCTAAACCCTCACAGCGGTTACTGTAATGGCTAAATAGCCTAATTATATAATTCATGATGAATAATTTCATAATGTTGATAAATTGTGTAATACAGTTTGTTCCAGTTATTAATAATGTAATGATGGGAAACACTGTTATTAGTTCCTGAGTTACAGGAGTTTTAGATTTAGTGTGTTTGTACCTGAGTGTTCTCTGCCGCTGAACTGTATTCCCAGGTCCTGCAGAGCTCCGTTCAGACCTTTAGGTTTGCGGCTGTAAAACGCCTGAGGAAGAAACATCAGCAGTTTCTATGACAACAACCTCATTTACACCATCCGCAGTAAAGGTGCTATTAAACTAATAGTGTCTATGGCTTTTAAACAAAGTTAATAAATGAGATTTTCCCATCATGGACATGTTGCCATGGTAACTCAATTAACCTGGAGTTCGTACAGGCCCCTGGTTAAATAAAGGTTAAACTCACCCTGTAAGTGGCTCTAAGGTCTATCCAGCTGTTCAGGACTTCAGGCTTAGTGATCTGTTTCCGTTTACATTCATAAAGTAAGCACACTCCTAAATCCCAATCTGGATTAAAACATCAACAAATACACTTAAAATCCCAAAATGGAATAAAACAAGAACAAAAACAGTCAAATCTCCCAATCTGGATTAAATCAACAGCAAATACACTTAAAATCCCAAGATGTAATAATAACAACAGCAAATACAGTCAAATCTCGCAATCTGAATTAAAACAACAAAAACAGGTAAATCTCCCAGTCTGGATTAAACTAACAGTAAATACAGTCAAACCTCCCAATCTGGATTAAAACAGGAAACACACTCAAATTGTAAAGTGGATGACTGTAGAGAAAAAAGGAGCCAAATGCTGCAGTGCAAAAGTAAAGCAGGTGTGTGTTTGGTTTGGCTCACCTGACCAGGTGAGGAAGGTGCACAGGTGTCCGGAGGCCGGTGTGTTCTTGCTGTCAGTTACACACACCACACCTTTCTCCTGCTGCAGAGTGTGGAGCCAGCGGGCAAACCTGGACAAGCAGATCCGCAGAGGAAGCCCCGCTTCCACCTGTTTCTGTGGACCAATCACATTCACTTGAGGATCGATGGCTGTGTACACCTTTAATCCACTACAATCATGAGAGCTAAGACATGTTCGGTGTCTTCTTTAGTTTTAGCACTGCAGCTACGAGGCTAATGTAGCTAACAAGCAATAGAACCATATGTACCCCAGTTAGCATCAATTAGCATCAAAGCAACTGCCTCAAAGTGTGTGGAGGTGTTCAGTATCTCTAATAGACTTGATTATGTGGTTTCTGACACCGTTATCTATAAACATGGACTGAAGTACAGGCAAAGCTCAGCCTTTTAGGAGCGAGGGGTGTTTACCTGTGTGATTCCGGTGAGTTCTGTGCAGAATTCAGACAGAACTGGATGTTCCTGAGGCTGAACGTATGAGTGGAACTCAGACTCGATCTCTCCAGTAGACGTGTTCAACAACACAGCCGGAAACTCAACTGCAGCAGAAGGACAGAGGACATTAACGCACTTCCATCAAAGACACTAATAAACAGCCACTAACAAACTTTCATTCTGTCTAGTAGAAACTAGGGGTTGCGCTACTTCAGATTTTTTGAAGTGGACAGTTGTGACAGTCGAGTCGACGACGACTAATTGCTGACGACACCATGAATAAAACCATAGGTGAAGCGAATGCTTCGCAACAAACGACTTCAAAAATTCGTGACGAAGCTCCACAGGTTAGTAGGCCGTGATGTGCCATTTCCAACGAGCCCTGGATCGCATTGCTAGCCTTCAGGAAACCAGAGATAAGAACCTGGAATCTTGCAAATTTGTGTCCGACTTGGGCGCACCCTAGGTGGCCTTGCCGAGACGCTCACCCGCGGTGGAGGTCCTGAGAGCCAGAGCCATAACTTGGCAAAAATAAGAGTAACTGACTTCAAACTTAAAGCCCTGTAGATGGGTGGAGGAATGGTGGAACGAAGCCAACCTCCACAGATCAGTAGAGCCCTGGATCACACTGCTAGCCTTTGGAAAGCCAGAGATACGGACCCTAAATTCACCAGGCTCCTAAACTGCTGTCTTCTCTGAGGTGTCCATGTTGTTAGTGTCATAATCCTGGGATCAGCAACTCCTCGAAATCAACCCTAAAGCATCACTGCTGAGCAGTAAAGTCAACAAGTCTGTGCAGCACCTAGTAGAAAGAAGTGATGAACCGTCTCTATGTTATCTTAGACTGTTGTACCTTGTAGATTCTACAAGAATTATTTTTCATTTTGCCAAAGAGCACAACCAGGAATACCCAGTCAGTCCCAGGATTTGAACCCATGACTTTCCGATAGTATATTCTGATGCCTGACAAAAATCCTAGAACCACCTGGGATACCATAGCAAATGAACAGCAACACTCTAAAAAAACAGCTCGCACACCATAGCAACCAACTAAAACCACCTTAGCAATTACCAGGGATACCATAGCACCTTTGTAGCAACATCATAACAACCACTCGGTATAACACTGCACCTGCCTGGCAACCCCCCTGGGATACGATAGCAGCCACCAAAGATACCACGTGCAACCTGTTAACAGTACCCAAGGAACCACCTGGGATACCTTGGCACCATTTTAGCCACCAAAAGTCAAAACTAAAGTAACTGCCTGAACAATCACTCTGCATTTTTTTTTTTTAAGAAATGCACTTTATTAAACGTCTCTGTGGGACTTCTAATAGTGTGTTAGCGCTAAGGTAACACCAGCACACATGAACAGAGCAACAAAGATATCTGAAGCTTGTAAAAGACATGTATGTATCATATGTATCAGTTTTACAGTGACAGTAAAGAGTCCTGCATAGAGCTGCCGCTGCTGTTTTACACTCCTAACAACTAACTGGAACACTGCTTTTAGACTACGCCTCATATTCACAGTCACTTATCTGATTATACAGAATGACAATAAATACAGGTTGAGGTGAAATGAAGTGAGAGATGTTCTTACTGATTTCTTGTCCGTAGTTGTTTTTCTCCCTCCAACAGGTCGACTCAAAATCAATAACGATCAGATAGGAGAACAGCTGTCCTGTACGAACAACACAAAACGAAATAACAACATTAATACGTTTTCACTGAACACAACAGTCTAAAACTTGATAAGTGACTAGAACTACGTTAGTATTAACTAGGACTGCCACCATGTAATCTAGCAATTATTTTCAAGATTATACAAGCAATTATGCAAATTATACCACATTTAATAAGAACATTTAATTTCACTCCATATACACAGTTTATAACTATAAACATGTACGCATAAGTGAGATCCTGCTGGTGTGGGTCTCCTCCCTTTCAGTGATGCACATTAAGGCGAACTGAGTGCTAGTAGCTCCCCCTTGTGGAGTTTTTTCAGACTGCTGAACACGACTTTATAATGACATGTGGACTCCCTGTTTGTCATACAAATTGCAAAGTAATTACTAAGCTGATTCAATGAGAATGTGAATTTCAATGAATTATTATTTTAATTGAGTAATTGATTTTAATCGTTACAGCCCTAGTAATAAGTGTAGTAACTTGCAGTGAAATTATGAACCACAACTGACAATTCTTTGGAGTTTAGGATTAGGCTTAATCTGTGTCTGGGAAACTTGTACTATAAGTTTATTACATAAGAACTGCCACAGATACTACTATTACTACTACTATTAATAATAATAATGATAATGATAATAATTTGGGAGTCATTTTCATACATCGAATGGATCAAAGTCCATTACAATGAAGCAATGAACCAAAAATGGCCAAAAGAGGCACTATTTTTACATTAATTCAACAGCATAAATAAAATATAACATCAAATCACATATAAAACGATCCTTTCTTTCAGTTCTGGTCGAATGATGCCTGAACTTAAGATTAAAATTAAAATAAAAGCAACATCAGACAAAAGTAAACTGTGTTCTTACTCGGACCGGTTTGCTTCTTCTGACCGCTGGAGGACTGGCTGCGTTTTCTAATCAGACCAAGCTCTCTGTGATAAAGACAGATAAACAATAGATAGATACACAAACAAACAGATAAATAGATAAACAGATACACAGATTTCACTAAAGATGATCCTTGGAAATAAGTATGGTGATTTATCAGTTGCTTATCATTAATTTTACAAGGGAAATTGACCCTTTTTTTTTCATAATTCTTACATAATTAAACGTTTAAGATGTAAACAGAGTCATTCAGAGTGGTCTGATGTGGTTCTAGAGAAACTTACCGAGTCAGAACTGTTTACAGTGGTGGTGATAGGAACCAGACGTCCACTTCTAAAAGCTCCTTCACAGAAAGTCACTACATGAAATGACCCCTGGTTCCTATCACCACCACTGTAAAGACATCTGAACCATTTCACACCAAACCACTCTGAATCTCTCTGTTTACACCACACACCCTGAGTTATGGGGGAATTTTGAAACATTTGGTGGAGTGCCCCTTTAAAGGACGGTTACTTGTGTTGTAGGCCACCTATTTAAAAGTTAATTCAAAGATAATTCATATAGAAGCGCTCCTTATCTAATCATATCCAGTAATATTACTGTAAATGAACATTAAGACGATCTCAGTATATGTTAATCAGTAATGCTACCTGGCCAGTTTCTTTGTTGACATGTTTCAGAGATTCAAACCCCAAAAACGAGACTAAAACAGTCCATAACTCCACTCTGCCTCGCAAAGTTCACCTCTAACCTCCGCTGGAAGAGCTCTGTAACTAGTCCGCGCACAAAAACAGGAGATAAATATTAAAAACTGTCTATTTTTACTAAATTTAATCCAAACTCCGCGGCTGATTTTCAAACGCCCGGTTTCCCCGCCTCCTCTCGGCGCTCTGCTGCTCGAGTCTGCAGGGCTGATAATCGATCCAGAACAGCAGATCGATTACCCGGGTAAGGTTTATTATTTTCATTTTTCGCTGCTTTTTCCCGGCTTTTCACCCCAAAATAAAGAATATCTTTACCATAGGGTTACGGACAACAAACCACAGACCGGCTCTGTAGGCTTACTCAGTAACAGAAGCTCCTTTAGCGATAGTTAGCGGTTAGCGGAGGAGCAGCATGGCTCCCACTGCACTCACTGTAATTCAGAACATTCTGACCAAAACACTGAATTATGAACGATTTAACCGCTGACAACCCAAACGTGAGGGGTCTGCTGATGCTAAATATGTTAAATAACAGATTTAACGTCACAAGTCTTTAAAATGTTCATAGTTTTCTGTAATAAATATCATTTTATGTGAAAATATCCATACCACGTGTTATCTTTAAAGGGAATGAATCAAAATACCTGCATAATTAAACAGTTCAGATGTAAACAGGGTCGTTCAGAGGGGTTCAGAGTGGTTTGGTGTGAAACGCTCTGTTCTAGATAAACTTACCGAGTCAGAACTGTTCACAGTGGTGGTGATAGGAACCAGACGTCCACCTCTAAAAGCTCCCTCACAGAAAGTTCCTACATGAAATGGTTATGAATTCACTGCCTGATGACTGAGACACTGTTTTATGATAGTTTAGAGAACTTAAACTCCATTCATGGTGGAGGGATACATGCAGGGCGCTGTGAGGCAAAATAGTCCCCAAAGAAAACTTATTATTTCAGATTTTCCACTGTTTTCATCATCAACATTCATATAAACTCAGAAGACTCGTGTAGGTTCACTGGTGGTTCTGGATAGTAAATAAAAGGTCTATATTTGTGTTGTAGTCATGGCGACCCCTGGTTCCTATCACCACCACTGTAAAGACATCTGAACCATTTCACACCAAACCACTCTGAATCTCTCTGTTTACATCTCAATCACTGAAGTATGCAGACATTTTGAAACACTGATAGCACTGCCCTTAAATCCCCCTAACCCTTTGGGTTCTCACACGTACCCCAGTGTTTTCCTTGGTAACCTGGACTGTGTCTAAAGCAGGTGCAGGGCTGAAGGGTTAGTCCATCATGTCTGTGGAGGTGAGCAGGAAAAGAAAGCTGGAAGACTCTCCAGAGGACGGCAGAGCTCAGAAGAGGGCAAAGACCAGCGAGGAACCACAGGAGAACCACGTGGCAGAGGTACATATAGACCTTCTGCCACCATTCTGGACCACATACTAAAAACTACACGTGTCAGTTCTCATGTGCGACTGTTTCTCCTCCAACAGCAGCAGCATAAGCCTTGCATCACTCGTCCACTGGAGCAGCTGTGTGAGTCCATCAGTGTGGAGGACGTGTGGAGGCTGGTGCAGTACGCCCTGCTGAGGAGACACTACGGAGGAAAAAAACCAAGGTAAACACACACAGTTTGATATGATTCTTCTTTATTTATTTGTTTAATTTTCTTTTAATTATACTCTTATTTCTGCTGTTTTTCTGGGTCTTTGTCATAACATAATGTCAGTCTGTGAAGCACTTTGTATTGCATTTGATTGTACCGAGGACAGAAGTGATGATATGCTGTTTTATCCAATATGATATAAAGTATTAATTTTGTCATAACTCTTATACCATACCAACCTGAATACTGTGATATGATATACATTTTTTGGCAATACTGTACAGTATAAATACAATTTGACTGATTGATTGAGGCAGTAAAATAACAGCTCTGGAATTCCCTACCTGAATAATGAGTTACTGCAATAACAGAGCTCTGGAATTATCTCCATCAGTAATCAGTTACTACGGTAACAGAGCTCTGGAATTATCTCCGTCAGTAATCAGTTACTACGGTAACAGAGCTCTGGAATTATCTCCGTCAGTAATCAGTTACTACAGTAACAGAGCTCTGGAATTATCTCCGTCAGTAATCAGTTACTACGGTAACAGAGCTCTGGAATTATCTCCGTCAGTAATCAGTTACTACGGTAACAGAGCTCTGGAATTATCTCCGTCAGTAATCAGTTACTACGGTAACAGAGCTCTGGAATTATCTCCGTCAGTAATCAGTTACTACAGTAACAGAGCTCTGGAATTATCTCCATCAGTAATCAGTTACTACGGTAACAGAGCTCTGGAATTATCTCCGTCAGTAATCAGTTACTACGGTAACAGAGCTCTGGAATTATCTCCGTCAGTAATCAGTTACTACAGTAACAGAGCTCTGGAATTATCTCCGTCAGTAATCAGTTACTACGGTAACAGAGCTCTGGAATTATCTCCGTCAGTAATCAGTTACTACGGTAACAGAGCTCTGGAATTATCTCCGTCAGTAATCAGTTACTACGGTAACAGAGCTCTGGAATTATCTCCGTCAGTAATCAGTTACTACGGTAACAGAGCTCTGGAATTACTACTATGGTAACCATGTTCTGGGATCCTTTGCCATAATGATCAATTACTACGGTAACCAATCTCTGGAATTTTCTCTCTGACCAATCAGTTATTATGGTAATGGAGCTCTGGAGTTCTTTACCAGAAGAGTTGGGTTCAGTAACCAAGGTCTGGAATTCTTTACAGAAATAATTTTATTTATTAATAATTAACTTTACAATAACAATCTCCAGAATTCTGTACTTTAATACTAATGTGCCTTTACCTCTGTTGCTGGTGCTCTATAAATAAAGGTAGATTGATTATTAGATTGGATGATGTATTTTATGATTGATTGATCGATCAATGTGTTTTTTCTCTTTGTCCAGCTGGTGCAGACTCCACGGCCGGCGCAGGGTGGTCAGGGTTAACGTGGCGGTGCTGGAGGGACTGACGCAGCTCCACTTCTACACACATTACACTCAGTTCAAACAACTGAGGAGAAAATACAGCACTGTGAGTGAACTATTCACACAAACACGAGTCTTCTGTAAAATACACATTACACCCTGATCACTCGGCTCAGATACAACAAGAGTTACTGAACTTGCAGAGCCATGTTCACAAAAGTTGAACTTGACATTAAATTTCAGACATGAAATGTTTTCGCCCTGGGAATTCGGGGCACAGAATCACTAAACGCAGCAAATTCCATTGAACTTAATGAAATTTCACAGGGCCTTTACACAGGATCTCCAAAACTAATGTAGCTAAAACATAATGAAAGCTTAGCTTTACTCACTCAATCAATCATTTACAGAACTATCTTTAAAAATCAGGCTTCAGGGTGCCGTTTTTAGCTGTGCAGTATACTTTCGTAGAGGTGCACCATGGTAATTATGGGGTTATAGGCTTCCAGTACTGTTAGATACCAGAGGTGTGGACTCAAGTCATATGACTTGGACTTGAGTCTGACTTAAGTCACAAATTTGATGACTTTAGACTCAGAAAAACTCACAGTTAAAGAAACATGGAGAAGTGAAATGTTCCCAAAAATCATCAAACATTATCTTCAAATATAAAGTTTTTTGTTTAATTAAGTTCAGTAGTGCTTTTAAAATACTTTTCATGTGTAGTTGTGCTACTCTTTGTGTATACAGTATGCCTGTCTGGTTATCTGTGTACCATGGAGTTTGTTTTTTAGTTGTAAGGGTAATAATATATAATAATATAGTAATATAGTAATAATAATAAAGATTAATATACGGCCATACTCTGCTAACATGCTGTCATTAAAAGGCTGCAGCACTGTTACCATTATTCAAGGTTATGGACTTAAATTAGTGAAGAATGCAGACTGACCTGTTTAGGACTCGAAGATTAAGACTATTGCCTTGGGATTTGACTTGAGACTCGCCTGTACTGACTCGGGACTTGAATCGAGACTCGACTATCTTGACTTGGGACTTGACTCGGGACTTGAGTGTGAAGACTTGAGACTTACTTGTTTCTTGCAGTTTAAACGTGATGAGACGATAATCGCATGTTTATCGTATGTCTCTCTGATTAACAGTAGCGTATGTGTTTATAACTGAGTGTCCAAGTAATTTGACGTTATTCTGTTGTGTCCTCTGTTCCACAGAGATGTACTCTAGCGCCCTCCTCAGGGAACCTGCTGTCTGAGCTCTTCAACAGTGAACTCCCGAACCCTCAGATCCACACTGCGCCCCCAACAGGTCAGCCTGAACATTCAGATCTGTTTAACAGTGTCAGTTTTCATAGACTTAAGGCTTTGTGGATGTAGATTAAGTTCCGTTAGGGCTGCATCTCACAACCATTTTTATGATTGATCAAATAATTCTGGCTTCTTCGGTTCCTATGTCGCCCCCTACACTTCCTGTAGTGTATTACAGTCTGTCAGAATGACTGTGTGGATCATACGAACATTATAGAGGCTTTGTAAATGAAACAGTAGAAGCCATATCGCCCCCTACACTTCCTGTAGTGTATTACAGTCTGTCAGGGTGACTGCGTGGATCATATGAACATTATAGAGAATTATACCTTATGTCTACTCTCAGGTAAGACATTTATTAGTCTCTTTAATTTCTTTATATTAATGTGTTTGTGTTTGTGTGCAGTTGGTGTGTTGTGTCACCCAGTGCTGCGGCGGTTTGGCCTGAAGAAGAAAGGAATGAGCAGCTACCTGCTGACGGAGGAGGAAATGATCAAAAAAAGCTTTCCAGTCAAAGGTGAGAGAGAGAGAGAGAGAGAGAGAGAGAGAGAGAGAGAGAGAGAGAGAAGGAGGGAGGGAGAGAGAGAGATAGAGAGAGACTATAACTACAGTTTACATTCCCTATTTAAGAACTTCATAGACTCTGGCGTTTCAAGTGTCATGTTCAAATGCCTTGTTTAGAAATTCACAAAATTTTAGAATTTCAGGTTCCTGTTTAACCCTCTGGGGTCCACAAACTCGCCCGTGTGTCATATTTGATGTCTCTATATCTGTCTGTGATGATCCAGCTCAGAAATTCAGTTCAAACACTTCCTGAATCTGCAGAGTCGCCCTTTCCATTCCATCTTATCACGAGATCATACGACACTCACATCCGGAGTTATGAGCCTATGAAGAGGGGCTGAGATACACGTCATCTGCCTCTCACCGTGTGGAGCTGGTGGATTTGTGTGTCCGTCTACATTCTGTGTGAAACTGACCGATGGACACTCAGGAAATCACTAAGGACTGACCATCATGCCGGAAACACTCCATTCTTCATTCAGTCCACATCGGAGATTCATGTGAAACGGCGTGCAGAGAGTTTACAGCTGCTGAAGCTGCTGCAGCGGTTTTGGAAAGTAGTGATGAAGATAACGGAGCATTTAGATATGAAACATATGAGGATCATGATATATGAAGAGCCTTTAAAGGAGAGTTTAAGAGGAGATGAACAGATCCAGAAAAGTTCTCTTTATGTAGGCGTATCTCTGTGTGTAAGAGGTGTGACACTTCCTTCAATGCTCAATATAGCTCTGTTTCCGTAATGCCTTGCAGGTGGGCGGGGCTGTGAAGCATTTGTTTGCACTCAGGCTGATGGTCATGTGACTGACAGCAGCCCTCTGTTCGGTCTGGACTGTGAGATGGTGAGTCAATCCCAGACTACAGTACCCATAATGCAGTATCAGTAAAACACATCTGTAAGCTACTCCAGTGTTTTTTATAATTTATTATTATATTTTCTGTACGTTTTTTAAATTTCTGACGGGTAGGGGTTTTTTTCTTTCAAATATGCATGCCAGAAAAAAATTAAATTTTTTTTATCTCAAGATAATAACTTAGGTTCTCAGAATTTTGACTTAATATGTCCAGGTTCTGTTCAAATGACGTGTTCTCAACACACTTATGATGCTAGGCCCCTTATTTGGGTTCTGACGCCATCAGGAACCAAATAGCTGAATTCTTGTAGTTGTGGCTTCACAGATAAAGGGAATAATTTTGTTGTTGCATCCAGTTTATGGCATCTTTCAACATCAAAATATGTCACAGAAATGCTATGAAAATTAGTTATTAGAGTAAAAAAAAACACATTTTGAGAAAGTAAGTCATTATTTTGAAACGTCTACATTTCAAAAAATTTAAGAAAATAAGACTTTTTTAAGACAGTAAATCAATTGTAAGAAAAAATAATTATTTCAGAAAATAAAAAGGGAATTTCTTACACTGGTCACGAATTTCGACATATTCTACACTCTTAAAAAAGACGGTTCTTCAAGGGTTCTTTTGTAAAGACAGTGGTTCTCTATAGAACTATAAACACTCAAAGAACCATTTTGTGCTTAAATGGTTCTCTGCATGGTGAAATTGTTCTTCAGATTGATGGAGAACGTGCTGTGTGGGGTTCTATGGAGAGGTTTTTGAAAATGGTTCTATATAGCACCAAAACGGTTACCAGCCTGACGATCATTGTAACAAAAACAGAACCATGTATCAATCTGAAGAACGGTTTCATCATGCACAGAACCTTCTAAGCACGAAATTGGTTCTATATAGCACCAAAAAGTGTTCTTCTATTGTTACAGGCTTGACATCATAACAGTAGAAGAACTCTTTGTGATGCTGTACAGAACCGTTTTCAGAGAAGCTCTATATAGAACCATATAAAACACATTATTCATCAGTCTAAAGAACCACTTAACGACGCAAAGAAACCTCTAACCATGCAAAGGGCTCTTTGAGTGTTCATGGTTCTATATCAACACATTTTCTTTACCAAAGAACCCTTAAAGAACCATCTTTTCGAGTGTGTAGATGAGTCCAGAATGAACAGAGCTGTAGAAGATTCTGTAAGGACTGAAAAAGCTGAAGAACATCGAGAATGAAGTTAATATCAGAATTAATCAGGTTTGAAAAGTGGTGATCAAATCGAAATACAGATAACTCAACAAAAATGTGAATCGATAATTACAGTATGTTATAAACAGTATGTAATAATAAAAATATAATAATAATAATAACAACAACAACAATAATAATAATATAAAATACTAAATGTTAAAACCCTTGAAATATTGAATAGAATGTTTAAGAATACATTTTGGTGTTTAGTTTATCAGATTTAATTCTGCTCTGTATATGAATTTGTTATTTCATATATATATTTACACCAATTATTAATGTAGAAAGTGATTCCAAACGTTGGAGCAGTTCTGTTTTATTCCTCTACCCAGCAGAAGCAGCTTTCTGCAGTTAGTAAGGTGTGTGTTGTGTGTGTGTTGTGTGTTGTGTGTGTTGTGTGTTTTGCAGTGTGTGACGCAGGCCGGTGCTGAACTAACGCGAGTAGCAGTGGTGGACAGCAGGGGGAGCTGTGTACTGGACCAACTGGTGAAACCATTCAATCCCATCATCAACTACTGCACCAAGTAAATATACACAGAGAAATATGTTCTTCATGGGTTCTTTAGTAAAGGTAATGGTTCTAAATGGAACCATGAACACTCAGAGAACCATTTGCATGATTAAACATGAAATGGTTCTTTAGATTGATGGAGAATGTGTTGTATATGGTTCTATTTAGTATATGGTTCTAATAAAAAGGGTTCTGCTATTGTTGCAAGCTTGACATTGTAACAATAGCAGAGCCTTTTTTGGTGCTATTTCAAAAATGTTCTACATAGAACCATGTCTCTATCATGTCTCATGTTTTTGGGTCTGCACTGCAGTGTGAATTGTGTTTATCCAGTATGTATATCTGCAGGTTTTTGGGTCTGCGCTGCAGTGTGAACTGTGTTTATCCAGTATGTATATCTGTGGGTTTTTGGGTCTGCGCTGCAGTGTGAATTGTGTTTATCCGGTATGTATATCTGCAGGTTTTTGGGTCTGCGCTGCAGTGTGAACTGTGTTTATCCAGTATGTATATCTGCGGGTTTTTGGGTCTGCGCTGCAGTGTGAATTGTGTTTATCCAGTATGTATTCCTGTAGGTTTTTGGGTCTGCGCTGCAGTGTGAATTGTGTTTATCCAGTATGTATTCCTGCAGGTTTTTGGGTCTGCGCTGCAGTGTGAATTGTGTTTATCCAGTATGTATATCTGTGGGTTTTTGGGTCTGCGCTGCAGTGTGAATTGTGTTTATCCGGTATGTATTTCTGCAGGTTTTTGGGTCTGCGCTGCAGTGTGAATTGTGTTTATCCGGTATGTATTTCTGCGGGTTTTTGGGTCTGCGCTGCAGTGTGAATTGTGTTTATCCAGTATGTATATCTGCAGGTTTTTGGGTCTGCGCTGCAGTGTAAATTGTGTTTATCCGGTATGTATTTCTGTAGGTTTTTGGGTCTGCGCTGCAGTGTGAATTGTGTTTATCCGGTATGTATATCTGTGGGTTTTTGGGTCTGCGCTGCAGTGTGAATTGTGTTTATCCAGTATGTATTTCTGCAGGTTTTTGGGTCTGCGCTGCAGTGTGAATTGTGTTTATCCAGTATGTATTCCTGTGGGTTTTTGGGTCTGCGCT